CTACCAAAGTCTTGCTTCAAGTTAGCCCATGTGGGCTTCGCAGCCTTGGGCACAAAAGTGAGCTCCGGAGTTGTGTCTCGACATGTCGATGAGCCGCATATATATACCCGGGACTGCTGGGATTCTGATTATTGTTAACTCTTGATCTATCGCTTCTCGCCAAGGACTCTCCCCTTTTTTTATATTGTAGTGGTAACCCCATGCGTATTGTTGAGCGTTGTAGTCTCCAGCAATGATTAGCGAAGAGTCTCGAGCTAGCTTGACGGCATTGGTAAGTAGAGACTTACTGATTAGTTCATTTTCTCGGACTACTGTAGACATTGAGAATAAGTATGCTTTCCTAATTGCCACTCGAAGAGTTTGGATTGACTTCTGGCATGATGTATGCAATTTTGCTACCTGTGATCTCCAGATCATGGCTTATGTATTTACATATTTTATAAGCCGGGATCGCGATACGCCTATCGCTACCGACATTTTTGACCTCGCAGCAACACCTTGGCAAAGTTACGTTGGGGGTTAGTGTTCCTTGGAGTAAGATGACATGCGCTTTCTCGGGGTGAGATTGAGTAAATTGCTGCAAGGGCGCCTTTTTAGGTGAGTAGACATTGCAGTTTCATTGCCACATTTTAATTTTACCAGTTTGTGCGGCCGTCCTGCTTCTCCTGGGACTCATTATTTCGTTCAGTAAGACTGTTGACTTTGTGAGCTGAATAATACGTTCATGGGCCCCGCCGCGGTGGTCTAGTGGCTAAGGTACTCGGCTGCTAACCCGCAGGGCGCGGGTTCGAATCCCGGCTGTGGCGGCTGCATTTCCGATGGAGGCGGAAATGTTGTAGGCCCGTGTGCTCAGATTTGGGTGCACGTTAAAGAACCCCAGGTGGTCTAAATTTCCGGAGCCCTCCACTACGGCGTCTCTCATAATCATATAGTGGTTTTGGGACGTTAAACCCCACATATCAATCAATCAATACGTTCATGGGCCGTGAGAGCCAGAGCTGAAAACACCGTGTCGTTCAAGGGGCCCTGACAAACTTGTTTGAATAGCCATGGAGTTAAGTCACTGGAAAAGCGTATTGCCTCACATACTCAATGCCGCAAAATTTTTTAAAATACGTTCAGTACGAGTGTAGTTACAACGATTTGTCATGCGCTGCAATCACATTCTCTCTTCTATAGTCCAAATGTAAGTGCTGGATGCTAAGCAATGAGGGAAGCGAGAGGCAAACAAAAAACGTGACGCGCGCCTCGTGAGCTTGGGCACTTTTTCTTTTTTTTTCTTCAATCACGTGGCTTTTTCAGTGTGATCGCGCGCCAACGCGTAGACAATAGATGACCTCTCACGGTAATCTCTGTAACAACTGAGCACGCCATTTTCAAATCACCCAATGGCTGATAGATGGGTGATCTACATGCGATTTTTGAGCGTCTTTAGTCATTTGACGAGGGAAAAGAAAGCAAGCTTTATCTGATTTTGAAAATTTATTGTGAATTCCAGGCCGCGTGCTGCGCTATAACATTTGGCTCGCGTGTTCTCGGGAGCCTCTACTACCGATCGGCAGCATTTTCTTACCATGGTCAAAAGTGTTGCAGGGCCCCTTTCAGGTATGCTTCAATGTGAAGAATTCGCTGGTTGGTGCGCTCTCTCAAAGCTGAAATACCTGTCTAAAATATTGTCAGCCTTTCATTTATTTGTCTGACGCTATCGCTTAGTGGTGTGGGCATTTCTTTGACTTCAGATTTTTTCCTCGTAGGCATTTGTTCACAAGGAATTATGGCTCGCTTTTTAAGCATGGGTTTCTGCTTCTCTCCTTCCTCGTTGGCAACTTCCATGGGTAGAGAAAGTTCTCATTGATTGCGAGCTGATGTTTGGTGGTTTTGTGCGGCTGTGTGAGAGCTCCCTCTAATTTCTTCTATTTCCGAAACGAGTTTTAAATGCGAGACATTTCTTAGCGAACTTCGGTGACATTGAGCGTATCTATCTAACTAGCCACTTACGTTTGGGTGTTCTCAAGGTCACCCTCTTAGCTTCGCGTGAATAAATGTTATCATGGGAGGGTAAGACGGTTTCACAAATATGACGCACTGGACAAGACATGTATAAGGTCACAATACCGTCGGGTACGTCGTGGAACACTTCCAGCCAGACAGTGGCACCTACGCACAGGCAGTTATGTGCCGCTGGTATGCGGGTATGTGCCACAGGTGAGTGACACTTTGTATCTACCCAGGAATGATGAGAACACACATGGGCAATTTTAACGCGCCAGCGTTAAAAAGCACCCGACATCTGTAGCGTCGACCCGATGAATGCAAAGAATGAATGTCGAGGTCCCAGCTGAAATCGAACACAAGCATTCTGCACGGCAATGAACAATTTTCAAACAAAGCTACGCCAGGTCTCCGAACTACTTTTCAAATAGACGCTAATTTTCATGAAACGTCAATAGTGGTTGCAGTGCTGCCTACCCAATTTCATAAACACCACATATGTACTCCTTTGGTACAGCCGTCCCGTCGGGTTAACATCAATTGTGGTTAGTTGCCAGATGCTGAAGTTGATTTATGTAGCAGTGCCCAGGGCCAGCAGCCTCGCATCAGCGCTTCATGTCAGCTTCTGGTGTTGATAATACGCATCTTCCAGTTATCCTCATTGCGCAAATGCAAACAACTGATTATATCATCATATCCAACTCTTCAACATATTTGTGTGCGTGCAACATATGTACATAAATTTGGCATCATTTTATGACGTGTTGCTCAATAAAAGATTGCAACACGGTCCCCTTTCATCCGCATGCTTCGCCTAACATAACAGGTACGTGGGGTCTGCGGAAATTTTTTATCACAAGTCTTAGTTTACTGTTTCCTCTCTAGTTGCGCTATCTAATAACTCTCTATTCTGTTGTGCTGATGCTCTGGTACTCGATCATGCGTTACCTGCGTTCCCTGTGCTCCTCCTAGAACTCGATCGGCCCAGGTTGACTGCCGTGGACGATCTTCTTCCCTCGTGTGTGTGTGTGAAAGTCCTCCAAGTGAATGAAAGGCCACTTGCGTGCCCCTGGAGAAGGTGCGTCCCCGACTTCTGGATCGGCTCCTAGATCTCAAACAGATTCTGATTTTGGAGAAATTCTTTGCACGGAAACGCCCGTTAGAACAAGCACGCCTTTCCGCCACTGGTTCCTCATTGCTGGGCGTGCTGCCACATTGCTGTAGTATTCTTGCTTTCTCGTTGGTCCTTTCTCGTCTTTACCTTCTGACGATGTATGGTATCTGGAAACGTTTTGCAGTCTTTAGCAGCCTTCAGGTGTGATCCTTCGCCTAGGCCACAACGCGGCAAGCATTCGTGAGACTTCTCTGGTTTGGGTGTACCACAACCTTGGCACAATGTTTTGCCCGGGGTCGGACACACAACGGCTTGGTGTCCCAGCTTTCCACATGCGTAGTAAACGTCCATGTGCTTGCGGTATAGAAAACATCTCACTAGTGTCGAGCCGTACCTATGAAGTTTAGTACCTTATAAACATCAAAAGGGAATAAGACGTTACCCGTGTTCCTGATTCGTTTCACTGCCAGGGCTAGTAGATTCCTGTCGTTGACAATGACAATGTTATTATCCAGGACCGCTGATTCATCACTGATATCAATGTAGGACATTCTTGCACGTGCTGTGCGGAGCCATTTCGTAAGCGCTGAATTCAAAGTCCTTGCCTCCAATCTGTATTAGCCTGATTTTAGAATATTTGTCAGCGTTTTGAATCTCAGAAGTGCTAGAAACCATGATGTTTTCCTGTTAGTTAGGACATATTACGTCTTCGTTAATCTGTAACGGGTAGAACCCGACCGCCTTGACGATAGCCCTACCAATGAAGGTGGGCACTGTCTTGGTTCTGTTAAGTCGTCCTTTTGGTCTGACCGCAAATTTGATGTGTTCTTTGGCATCTGTGGCATGCGAGATGCCCTCACTATTCGGTTTATCAATATGTGGCCACCCTTCTTCATGCTGGGAGCTCCCCTGATGCAATGCCCATTCTGACTCTAAGCGCTTACGTTGCGGCTTACTCTTCCGGCTGTGGCGCTCGTCCGCTTCTAAGAGGCTGTTTTCTAGCCATATTCCTCAGTAAGCTCTTCGGGGACTAAAATGCACCCCTTCCACAATCATCTCCGTCATCGCTGACTTGTCGGGAGCGGTCGCCGACCTTTCTCGCGGCAGTGCCGTGCGACGCGCGCTACGGCCTAGCACAGCGGTGGCGCCGTCCGATCACAAAGCCCCAGAAACTGCGAAACAGTCCACCTGGGAGTATTTTTTTTCAGCGAGTGGTTCGCCCCGCCAGATACAAAAGGTCTTTGTGGCGACACGTCTACAGGCAAGTTACGACTTTTTGTGCCTGCGCACTTCTGTCGCCAGGTATTCGCACGGCTACACAAGATGTCCCAGCCGGGAATTCGGGCTACGAAAAAACTCCTCACAGCAAGTCTCATATGGCCCGCGGCCTGCGTGTTTCTGTAGGATATTGCAAGAGATGTATGGGGAAAATGCGGCACCGCTATTGGCTGAAATAGAGGTGATCTAAACGCACTTTCGGTTTGTGTTTATTTTTGTCTCTTTTTGTACAAGATGGCAGCGCACCCAGAGTGGATCTTGCGAAGCTGGTTGAAGCCATACGCCATATAAATTTGGGTTTTTGGCTGACACGTGTTACGCGGGGCTGTGCAGATCGTTTAACTATGGACGCAGTGGCGTCTAACATGATTCCGTGAGTGTGTAGTGCATGCCCCTTCGGCGTGCGATCAATTGTTTGACACGACGCAAGAAACTTTCGTTGGCGCTGCCGCGCTAAGCCCCGCTCCGTACAAATTGAGCCGTACGTGCGCCGCATGCATGACGGGCGCCGAAATGTGTGCGCTTTTTGTTGCCACATGTTTTCGCGCCTGTTGGCAATGTAAACGCGGATAGTGTCGGAATGGGCGAAGTGGTGCACAACGTAAATCCAGGAGCGTGTGCATGCCCATTTGGCGTGATATTTATTACGAGGTCGTGTTTTGCAAGACGCAAGGAAGCCTAAGACTTGATTTTACTCGCGTGGAGTGCAAGCTTATTCAGCTACGGTGTAAAAAAAAACGACGTGAGGCGATTTGTCAATATTCGTTCATTTGTCACAGATCGGCTCGATGTCAATGCAAGTAAGCTTGATGCTGTAGAACTGTAAAAAAAAGAAATATGTTTCAGGAATAGCGTCATTATAAACTTCTAAGCTGCTTCTGGTAAGTGTACATTATTTTGAAAAAGGCAAAGAGCGCCCTTCTCCCAACCTTTCATGTGAGCTTATCTAATATTAATCGGTGCAGTGACTTTAGCATGTTATAAAACACCTTACATGTCTGCGGGCAAAACATCTGTCACACTGAACGAGGCATGCATAACCAAGTAGTAACATCAATATATTGCCCATCAGGACCGTAGTGTCGAAACAAAAAAAAGGAAAGTACCTTTAGGGCTTGTTTTCTTTGTTAGAGACACAATAATGATGAGGTCGAACAGGTAATCATGACAAAAAAAGTAAATTTAAGGGCTTATTTCCTTCGTTAGACACAATATTTTTGAGATATAATGGACAATCATGCTAAGTGACATGATGATATGTTACATGTCATTATTATTGTGTCTAACAAAGAAATGAAACCCTTGAATGTACTTTTTTTTATTCATATTGAGGGACTCATTCTGGGTGACTTAGTGCTTTCAGGTAGTATACGACAAATTATTCGTCAGCTGCCAACTCATAATAGGCTCACAAACTACACCACGCCAAACAGACACAAAAAAAGGTTGCACACTCACCGTCATGGCTGGCCACGCTCCCACATTTGATTTACATATACCCCATTAAGTGCACGGAGAGATGGCCGCCATGGTAGCTCAGTATGTAGAATATCGCACGTGTTATTCGAACGTTGCAAATTTGGTCCCTTCTTAGGGCAAGTTATCTTTTAGTCCAATTCTCTTTCTTCACCTTCACATTACAAAACCAAAACACAGCATATTGTGAAATGATGGACATTTAACAAGCTTAGCAAACGTGGGCAGAAAAAAAATAAAAGAAAACATGAGTGCCTGGGGAACAATTGGCAGGCGTCGATTCACGAAATATGCCTTGAGAATGTACCCCCCATATTTTGTAAAGTCCTGCAATGTCGATTGTGAGACACGGTGGTGGGAACATGTGTGCTGTAAGAAATATCTGAATATGAACTTCTCTTACAACTACTCCCCCAAACCTCTAGGAATCACACAGATGAATGGTGCACATACCACGTGGACTCACAGTGCCGAAAAAATGACAAATGTCGTGGTATTTGAGCACAGGCTCTTCTCAACTAACGAATTGTATAAGGCTCACTAATTACATTATTATAACAATGCGAAATTCCATGCCCTGTCCGAAAAGCGTTTTTTTATCCTTTAAGCTTGTCTAACATAAAATTACATTGTTTATTCAGATATAATTATTACTTGCCTAACAGGACATACAAACCAATGACAGCACATACATTTCTCAACGCAAAACCAACACCACCTATAGCCTCTTTGACAAATAAACATTCTGCTATTTTTCTCCGTATTAGATGCCCTATTCAATTGCATACTGCTTCCAGTTTCTCATTATGCTAGCTTATTACACCAATAAGTAGACTGCTAGTACAATATTGTTCACTAAAGACTCAACACTTCATTAAAGATGTGCTGTGTAACGTATAACAGCTTCTTGATGCAGGCCAAAAGATCATTGAAGTTTCATCAGTGCGCTTTTACCATCTGTCATTACAAAATAAGCACCTGTTTCCAAAATAGGTAATAAGTTACACAGATGCTATAGTAATTTCTTTTTTAAAAATGTGGACAATTCTTGAAACAAATTATACCAAAATGATTAACAGGTCAGGTAAGCTCTCCATTGAATAATTACGATACATTTGACATTACCTTCGCACTAACCAGTGTCGTACGAGACATGTGTATATGAAGAGGGGGGGGGGTTGCAAAATATTCAGGCTCATGCCATGCTTTTTAAAGGCAATTGTATCTTATACGAATACAAGGTGTTTTATAATTGCCATGGCAGGATGAAACATCAGTACGCATTAAGAATTCTTCCAGATTTCATGCATTTATGTTACCTGTTATCAATTGGACAATACTTTAAGAAAGACAAGTTGGCATGAGCACTTAATAGAAGATCTGAGCTAGTTCGTGTTTTTGTTTTGTTAAGAGACAGGCATGCAAACATAAACACCAGAGCGAAATAAAAGTGCGCAAATGCCCCTAACAACGGAAAAGATGCACAGCAACAGGAAAGAAAGCAGACATTCGAACTTGCCTGCGCATATCTCATTGTGTCCGTGTTTACATGTCGCATATTTTAACTTTGCGCTTGTGATAACTATAAACCAGTGGCAAAAATTGTAACCTACGCATTTTCATTTCAGTTCAAGCACTTAGTCATATCTCTATTGCTTTAGTGCTAAAATGCTGCACCTGTCATTTTTTCGTAAGAATGTGGAATGTGAAAGCATTTATTATGAAACGTTTGTAGATAAACTGCAAGCAATTCATGACTTCCTACCTTTCTTGAGAGACCTTACAAGGCAAAATGCTAAGCATTAAACTATTGCGACACACGCATTGACAACGCGACAAAATGAGTGTATCTGACCGCGTCCTAGAGTGAGTCCGACAATCGCTTGTGCTCTGATGAACTGTTCAAACAAACTCCTTTAGGTCCTGCCTGTGAATAGTTGATATTATTTTTGTATTTTGGCAAGGTGGTCACCGGAAATCACCGCTGGGTGAAGAAATGAGACTCTTTTAGCCGGCGATACCAAAACCGACGCATCAATAAGCGCAGCAACCATTCGCTTTGAAAACGTGCTCACGATGACACTGTTTCCCTCGCCGTTACCAACCATCAATCTACATACTTCGTTTCGTGGCAGCGCTTTCCGGCCGTATGACTGCTTATCGGTGCTCGTTTTTCCTCCTCCCTCAATGCGAGGGAGACAGTGTCATCATTAAGGGTGTTTTTGAAGTCAAAGTTTGATGCGCTGTTGGTGCGTTGGTTTCGGTTTCACCTGGTGAAATATCCAGATTTTCTCACTCCGTGGTAATAATCCCCAGTGGCCTCATTTTAAAACTTTGAAAGTGAGCATATGCAGGACGAACATGAATTTGCCCATTTGACTCAACAGCTTATTTTGATGATAGTTAAAACGGTAATCTGGCAAATGTTTGTACTTATACTGCCGTAAATAACGCCTGTGCGCATCTGAAGATGACTTCTTTCACAGTAAGAGAACGACGCTCGTAGCACGCAGAAACCTCCTTTCAGTAATGTTTAATAATAGTGGATACATTTCTTAAAACACCTTGTATAAGCCATCAGCTGGATGAGGCCATGGACGCCGCTGTAGCTCACTTGGCTCCACAACGCATGCACTAACTGAAGCTGACAGGTCCAGGTCTGGGAAGGACCAGGCAGCTTTTCTTCTCCTTTTCTTTCTTTACTTCTCTTACAATTCTCCGGATGATGATTGTCTATTATTTCTCTTTATAATTGTTTCAGCAACATTTGCGCACTTTTGCACTACCATGTTATAATATTACTTCAGAACGATCAATTCGCCCACCTTCAGACTGCAAGAAAAGAAGTAGTTCTCAGTATAAGAGAGTATAAGAGTCTGGTGTACATAGATATTGTCCAGAGAGTGAGACTGATCCAACATGTATATTTTATTTTCTAATGATAATCTTTATGTATAATTGTGGCTAATATCTGGTGTACATAGATATTGTCCAGAGAGTGAGACTGATCCAACATGTATATTTTATTTTCTAATGATAATCTTTATGTATAATTGTGGCTAATCAGTAAAAAATACACTTTCTCAATACTTCACATCTATGCTCATTTGCACTCTCAGATTAGCGTTTAAGTAAGGAGTGCACAATGATTAACCACTATATAGATAGCCACGGGCGCATGCAATCTAAATTCAGGTAAGTGTGAATATATAGTGCAGCATTGTGAAAATATTATGCCCACTTTACTGATTTTCCTGATACCATGAAGCGACATAGCTGCATCGCGCATAATAGTTTTGCAAATGAATAAGTATAGGCAGTTTATACAAACTAAGGTTAATATGTATTGATAAAATTGATACCATTCAAGCCGAATAATAGTCCAGTAAGCACAACTTAGTAATGTTAATTGCATCCTCACTCAAGCATATAGTCAATCGCTGAGCAATGATGACAATAAACTAAAAATTAGAAATTTGTGGACTGCCAGGTTGAAGGACATTAAAATTATGTTGCGAATAAGTGCATACAATTATTATACGATGATGCATAACAGACGCATCTAATCTAGTGGCAGCATGAAATGTTAATGAGTGATATATTCTTATAATTTGCCTAAAATATTTGTTACTCTGCAGCGACAGCTGTCACATAAAAGCTTTATCATAATATATTGACATGCATTGTAGCACTAACAAATATGGGCAATTAGAACTACAACTGAATAACTGCCACCGCTTAAAATACGTGAATGTAATGTATGCAGCGATAGCAAAAACTGATAAGAAAATGCACTGAGCCTGTCAATGCTGCGCTTCAATTATTGACCCAAATTATCTTGAAAAAAATTGAGCTACAGTAATTTTCTCTTCCTGAGAATACTATTATACTGGGGATTACAAGGCACCATTGAGATTTACAAAGAGTAATCAGAAAGAAAGGTAACTACATTTTTAGGCCTACGGGGTAAATGAGCAAAATAATGAAATGATACGATAATGGATTTTACAGTGCAAAGCAGTTTAACACCGCATTATAATGTCAGCAAAATAGGATGCCTTCGCTGCTTCGATGTGGAGAGCATGAACACCTGTTTACCAAATCTTAGAGACACATATGTCACTGAAGATCAAAGCGTTATATTTTATTCTGGAACGAAAAACACTACGAGCACATTGTGCCTAGATATTCTTATGATTGATAAAAGTACTTACTTTTCGAACAAATACTAGTTTTAAGGAATCTGTGACATGGACAGGAGCCCCGTAGAGCTGTGGGCAGTGTCGACACATGCGGTTTGCAGTCGATTGCTCTGCGACTCGGCAGGTAGGATAGCAACCTGTCACTAGCAACCTGTCTCTAGTGCGTAGTGAGTTCAAATCGGCTTGTGCCGCTGTGGCATGTTTCAACATACATATCTTTCTGTTCTGTAAATGAATATAGATACCTTTCTGTTTTTTAAATGAACACACATTATTATATGTTTAGAACAAAAGAATCAATTGGATGATTTGGAAGCTTCACCTTTAATAGCTGGACGCGATAGTGCTAACCTATCCCTAGTGCATACAGAGTTCAAAGTGGCTTGTCTCAGTGTCATAAGGATAATTGCATGGGCTGCGTCTCCATTGCAATGAACGATTGTACCACGCGTTACTACTGCGATAATACATGTTGAATTGTGAAGCATGTACGCAGGACCCTTGTTTATTTCCGAACACATGAAATCATTTGCAATGTATTTCCAAGCAGGTGCGTGGCTGTGGTAGAACTCACGCTTGCCACGCAAATGACCCGGGTTCGGTCCTCACTGAAACCTAGTTTTTTTGTTTTTTATTGTTTTGCATCTTGATGTTTAGGTCATACACAAGATAAGTTTTGCTCACAGCCGACGACGCTGACGCCGGCGCCGACACCGGTATTATTGTGAACCAAGTTCTTTAGCGCTTTCGCGTCGAAATGTCATTGGTTGGCATGTGTTAAGAAGCTTCGACTTCACGCTCACAACTTGCCTGTCTCAAATGACTGGCCTTCATATACACGACAAGCGCTAAAACTTTTAAACGGTATAAATGTGTTTTACAAGAGATCCAAGGAATCGGAACGAAAATGATTTTCTGGTGATGTTGTTGGAATATTTTGCAAAGGTGCCCTTGGCGTTTCTCAGAGAACCATTAGCGAAAGTAGTTCGGAGTATTTTAAGTATTGCAGAATTTCCGACCACGTGGGACTTAGCCGGGCGCGTGACCCATTCGCGTTTCGGAAGACTACAATAAAGTTATTATGTTTGCTTCCTTCCTTCCTTCCTTCCTAAACGAAGACACATCAGCGCACTAGCGCATGACTCGTTCTTCATACTGTGGTAATGTTTTCCAGAGTTGGACGTGAAATAAATTGCTTTTTGACGCTTTTTTTGTGCAAAGAAATAGAAGACACAATAATACTGCGAAGACAAAACCCACTTAGGAAGAAGGACAACGTATTTAAACGAAAGAAATGGCTATACCAGCACTCTTGAGCTTCACCTTGAAGTGTAGAGAGGGATAGCGCAGTGAGATGTGTTCGCATTGCCCACTCGTTGACTACAACCCCGACATCACTTCTTGATCGAGCACTACACCAAGTGCAAGAGGAGGAACATTTATGCCCATACTGAGGGGCCTCAACAAGCTGCCTCGAATGCCTACTGCAAGTAGAGTTGTGTAGTGTCCACCATGACATAATTGGTTTTTTCGAGTTGACATGTTACCTACTGTGCGTCTGTGAAACACCATGTGCAGCGCAGCAGCTGCGAAGCTTACCTATTCTGTTTCTGATATTGATAATTACATCTTCGAGCTTTGCATTTGGTGGATCCTGAAATAAGTCACTCGTTCGGTAATTTGCGTAGCTGAATGCGTGATGTCAGCCGATGAGGCTGGTGCACTGTAGTGTACTGATGACAGTCCTCGCACCATGTGACCTTCGTTTGATGCTTAAAGTGGCTTCCAGAACTAGCATATGGCTTTGTGGTACAACTTTCGCCATTGGGTTATGCCGCGAAGGGAGTGAACGTCTATTTCAGTATATAATACGCGTGAACGAGATCCCTTCATAAAACCTTTGCTTTAAAGGAGTTCTATTAGCGCAGTCGTATCCGCTTTTGAGTCGACGCCTTGCTCAACATTAGCCAACACAAGCCTCGCAGACACATATACCGCCACTCCCAGCGCACCAATGCAGCCCCTTAAGCAATTCACTTAGACGGTGGCGCCAGATTTCGCTCTAGGTAATTTCGTTAGAAACTCCATGTGAATAGATGACAGTACTTGCCCTGCGTGACCTTCATACGATGCTTAAAGGGAGTTCCTGCACTGACATGGCTTCGTGGTAGAAAACCTGCTAACCCCGCTGCGGTGACTTTTAGCTGTTGTAGCTGCAGAGTTGCTGAAGACCAGAACTGAAGTTCGAAATGATGGAATGGTACCATGGAACCACCCGCTCCTTCTTTTACGCAATTTTTAGATGCGAAGCAGCCTATGGTGGAGTTTAAATTGGTGTGCGGCGGGGCCAGCCCAACTGCTTGTGCGCTATAGCGGGCCCAAACACTGCCAGACTGCGCTCACGTGCTAGCTTTTTCTGGCGTGTGTAAGGGGCTAGGTAAAACGCTGTGGCCTGTCCTCCTTACCCCCTCCGCAATCGTGTGATGGCGTTGGGGAACGAGATTCTGCAGACGCACGTTGAACCAACGCGTGCCCGCGTGGAGTGGTGATCAACGTGCGTGGTGTGCTCCAACAAGAGTTAGGCACGAGCAAAAGCAACACAAACAACAATGAAGGCATTATGTGGTCCACTTGCAAAGCCACGTTCACATCGGGCATGGTGCCCATAATAAATGGAACTGTACCTCGACCAATGCGCCACTTCGCATGCTACTTCTGGTTCTCTTTAGTGGGGGATGTCATGTTCTATGTTTGTGGGCTCGGCGCCTTACCTGCTCTTCTTTGCCTTTATAGTGATGAACAGGTGGCCTCTTTTGTGCCGAGTTTCAGCCACGATGGAACAGTGTCCAGGAGGCTCGGCTTCTCACCGGAAGGTCGCGAGTTCTATCCCGGCCACGGCGGTCACATGAAGGAAAAATGGCAGAGTCTCGTGTGCTGTGTGATGTCAGTGCAACTTAATAACACCCTTTATGTAAATATGCGGAGCGCCGCACTTCTGCGTCTCTGGAAATCGTATGGTGGTTTCGGCACAAGGATATGATTGATTGATATCTGGCGTTTAACGTCCCGAAACCGCCATAAGGTTATTATAAAAGGCGCCGTAGAGGAGGGTTCAGGAAATTTCGACCACCTGGGGTTCTTTAACGTGCACCTAAATCTAAGCACACGGGCTGACATTGTTTTCGCCTCAATCGAAAATTCAGCCACCGCAGCCAATATTCGACCCCACGACCTGTGGGTCAGCAGCCGAGTACCTTAGCCACTAGACCACCGCGGCAGGGCGGTGGTTTCGGGACACTAAAACCCTGCTAGAAATAAAGAAGGAAGAAGAGGCGCGGGCACGAGCTGGTCTGGCCACAGCCATACTCCGAAAAATTGGGTGTACTATAAATTCCACGCAGTACTGATTAAGCGTACAGTTGCTATAGCTAAAGGTAAACACAAATCTGACTTACATTCGCGTTTATTAAAACCTGATAGACGATCTGCTCTGTACAGGTTTCTACAGAACAAAAACTCGACGCAGGTACCAGCATATTCGCATTCAGTAGTGCTGTCTCCTATAGAGACAACCGATTTGTTAGAGGGCATCGCGAAAGGACTTGAAGCGCGTTTCGCTTCGTCATGTTTGAGACCTAAGACATTCAAAAGCTCAACCTCGGACTTTCGGGAAGTTACTGTGACGGAACTGCCAGATGTAATACTAACTGTAAATCAAGCGGCTCCCGGTCCAGATCAGATTACAAACTCTATGATTAAATTGATATTTAATCCCCAATGAGCTTTTGAATATTGTTAACTGCTCCTTACAGCATACATGGATTCCAAGCGCATGGAGAATCGCTAAAGTTGCGTTGCTGCAAAAAAATCAAAGCCTCCGATATGTGCTGGATAACATTCGGCCTATTTCGCTTATTTCAAGCTTAGCTAAAATAGTTGAAAAAATTCTTTATAGAAGGCTCAGTGAATTCATCGCTCGTCAGGACATTCTTTCACTAAGGCAAGTAGGATTTAGACAGGGGTGCTCTATATGGTCGGCTCATGTTTATTTAGAAAGCGGAATTCGCCTTGCAAATGTATCTGGTCAGCTTTCTGCATTAGTCACGTTAGGTATTGCAAAAGCTTACGATAGTGTGGAACACAGTACATTATTTTCAAGATTAGTGGACTGCGAGGTGTCTAAGTACATTATATCTTGGGTTCAGGAGTTTCTCTTTGAGAGACAATTCTTTTTTTTGCCACGAGGGAATTACTTCTGCCTCATATAAGCAAACAAGAGGTGTTCCGCAAAGATCAGTTCTGTCACCTCTTTTATTTCATATCTTATTAGGTTCCACTTCTGTTCACACAAATACTCCTCTTTACGTCGACGCTCATGATATTGTTTTTTTTCTTGTCACCCCGTTGTCATCCCGAAGTATCAATAGTTTTTATCAAATCTTATAGTCTTATTTGTGTGAGCTTGAGGTATGGCTTGGCGTGCTGTCCTTTTTCACTTAATATCAGAAAATATGCTCTGCTTGTATTTCCTCTATCCGTTCCCATATTTCTTTCACTGCATTATCGAAATGATCCGAATCCACAAGTAACAGCACTAAAATATCTTGGCATTGTTTACGTGGTCAATTTAAATTGGCAGTAACAAATAGAATCAAACACACGTAATGCAGAAAGTGCCCTAGGATTGCTACGCCGGTTTTGCAATAAGAATTCAGGGATGCGCAGGGATACGTTACTTATGATATACAATCTTTACGCTCGAACAATTCTGTAGTTTGGTTGCGTTCTGTTTTACGGAAGTGCCAAGTACAAATTAAGACTTCTTATATTGCTAGAAAGGCAATATCTGCGGCTGTGTCTCGGGTTACCTAGGTGTGTCGCGAATAGCGTGCTTTATTTGAAAGCTCGAATAATTCCACTTGATGCTAGATTTCAACAGCTTACGCTCTAAGGCGAAATTTCCTTTATTTCAGTAAAGCTTGCTCCCAAGTCCATACAATGCATGAGCAGATGAGAAACATAAACACTAAGCAAGCTAATTAATCTAAGTGTCACAGAACGAGCGCTAAAAATGGGCGCGCCGCCAAATTCTTGCGGTAACGCGCGGAAGACACGCCAGGAGGTCAAAAGAAAAAAAAAAGAAAACAAACATC